CCCCCCCACCGCCCTACTTCGGTAGTTATTTTATACCCTTCTGTTTTTCTATCTCCTTTTTCCTTTCTACGTATTTCCAGAAACTGTTTCTTTCGTTTTCATTCTAATCCACTTCAATCCTGTTAAAATTTTACAAGTTTATCACATCAACTATAAGTAGACAATCACCAAATTTAAAAAAAAAAATTATCTCCCCTTATTTAACATTACCTCCCTTTAGAAATAATTGAAAGGGGATAGTACTGAAAACGAGATTTTAAGGGGGAAAAAAATTGAAGAAGTAAAACTTTAGAAAGGGTGATGGCCTTATAAGGGGCTAGGTGGATGGGTACTTCGATTAAATAAAACCCACATCTACTTTATAGGTTTTGAAGGCATTTCAGCAACCTTGGCCTGATAACCTCAAACGCATTCTAGAGCTAGGGGAAAAAACTGCTGTACGGCTTGAGTTATCTTTTCCTTGTTTTAAAAATAGACAATACGGGCCGATTTTTTTTTTTGTGCAGGGGAGATTAAGGATGATTTTATTTTCTATTGGTTGGGTGTACCCTTCATGTTGATTCTGCGGCCCGGGAGGGGGGGGGGGGAGTTCGTCAATCAGAAAAAAAAAGAGGAATAACTAAGCTGAACAGATTTACGGAGCTGATCCACTGGGTTGGTGAAACATTTTATTTATTAATTACAGGGGGGGGGGAGGGGGGCGGAGTCCGTGAATATTTTTGCAAAGATGGAACCGGATGTTAACAAAGTCACGTGGTCGAAACGTTTAAAAACTTTTTTCAAAGGAGAGGAGTGTCAAGGTCAGCGGAAATGTAAGGAGCGGGTAGGGAAATTGGTTGAATAAGATGGTGAGGGGAGAGTGGAACAGGGGGAGGGGGGTAGTGTTGGAATGTATCTTCTTTTCAGTTTTGTAGAAGAATGAAAAAAAAAGTAACCCTTGATCGAGGAATTATAAGAATTTTTTTTTATAATACCATCAAGTTATATTAGCATTTCTTTAGCCCCGGTAAATTCTTCTATAAAATTCTGCCGAAGAAGAAGATTTGGGGATTTGGAAATCCTGATAACGAAAAGATTGATTTAACTTGGTTCTTCACGCTATACTTCGATTAGGTCGTCTTTTTTAAAGTTTTTTTTTTTCCCTAACACATAGAAACAGAAGAGCTTGTGTGAAAATGAACAAGACATTTGACGCAAGATTTAACCAAATTATTGTCAGTTCAGCTTTTCTTACTCCCAGCGCATTTCACTTGAAGTTGTTGAATTTTTTTCGGGACAGTATGAACAGAGAATACAGATCATAACTGCTAACTTGAAATTATTGATTTTATGAACCGGGTTTGAACTTGTAGGAGTCCACTCAGCTTTAATGGGTACCTGGCACACGTAAAGGCGAATGTATGTAAACTTAACACATTATATAAAAAAAACATGTGAATTATATTTTACCTGCACAACTAACTGCCCGAATGGCGTGGTCGAGTGTTAGAGCTAACGACTGTCCACCTGAAGCTTTTGCGTCGGGACCCCCTGGTTCGAGTCCGTTCGAGTCAACCCTGCAGTGATGGGTACCTGGCACACGCTAGAAAAACTAAGATGGCTGACCACACTATCCCCCTGTATGCTGAGTTTCATTGAAACTGATGAACTCAACTAAATTATCGTGTCAATATATTATATCTGTCATCAGCAAAAAGAAAAAAACAAAGCTGCCGCAACATGAAGCCAACTAAAGACAAGAAATGCTTGTCTACTGAAACTGTAAGAGAAGATTTCACCGCCCCAAACAATATTCACCGTGGTTGCAATATGATAATGGAAGTCATTTAGAGGACCAACAACACTGGAGCAGACGATGAAGCGTTAAACGATGAATGTTGGAAACAAATGGCATCAGAAATACGGCAATGATCTCAATAGTAAAAGTAAAAAAAAAAAAATTTCTTCAGACGAATGTTAGATGCTGTTAACAATACAAATACGCCATTATCTCCAAATTAAAATAGTACTAGAAAAAGATAATGATGTCGATGAACGTTGTATTTTGAAAACATTACAAATCCGTCATAAGTAAAATGGTAGGGAAAAAACAACAAAATATATTTGTAAAAAACTAACCGTTTTCGCTTAGTTTTTAATATTCTCCTTACGATTTATTTACTTGTTATTTTGATAACATTACAAATGTGCCATACGTAAAATGGTACAAAAAAGCAACAACATATATTTGCAAAAAAAAAACACAGATATTTGGTGCTGGTTTTTAATATTCTCCTTAAGATTTATTTACTTGTTATTTTGATAACATTACAAATGCGCCATACGTAAAAAAGGTACAAAAAAGCAACAACATATATTTGTAAAAAAAAAAAAAACCAGATATTTTCTGCTGTTTTTTAATATTCTCCTTACGATTTATTTACTTGTTGACAGTTATTTTTAAAAAAAAAGATCAGCTTACACACAAAAAACACCTGTCCTTGGCATTTTTTTAGCGATTTTATTTTTTCCTATTTGATCGAATGCTATGTGACACTTGTATCAAGCAGTCAATACAACCTTGAACCCTTGGTTATTTTTTTTATAATCAGCCTGGAAAGCTTTACTGAAAAGTGGTAAAAAAAAACTGTAAAAAACCACAAGCTGTAAACAAGTTTTATGATTGGTTTGCCCTGCCAGTTCTGTTGTTTTTGGTTGTTTTTTTTTAAATATTTTTTGTACCAATATCCGCAACATTTTAAACATTATTTGCATCGATCCAGTTGTATTAAGTTTTCTGTTAGTTTCCTGTTTCAAATTTTATTTTTATTTTTTTGGTTTTTTTTTATGGCTGTTTGATATCTCAGTTTATTCAAATCCAATATTTAAAAAAAAAAGTTTTTGAGTATTGAGCTCCAACAATCTGTCAGTTGAAGACATCAAGTCACATGTTGTCATTCCGTTTTTTTCCTTCAATACATGTTTTTAATAGCTATTGGGACACTATAACAGGAATGCATGATAAGAATTTGGATTGCCATCGCATATTGTTTTAAAAACATATTTTTTTATAAAACTCCTCTTTAGACTTTGCGATCAATGGGGCTTGTAAGTCTCGGTTTCTCTTGCACACAATTCAAAATCTCGTCAGCCAGAGAAAGATTTAAATTTTCGAACAAAATTAATTTTTTACCATGATTCATATTTACGATTTTAAGTAACTTAACTGTAGCAGGGTAACTTTTCTATTATTTTTTTACCGATTGAATAAAAAAAATTGAGATATACTAACAGGCAAGTACGAGAACACGAAGACGGTGACCTACTTACAAGCCCTATTGGGCAGGGGAAGTTGGGTTCATATATGACTTGTCATTGGCCAATTAATGGGTAATCATGGTCAGTCTTAAGCCCAGGCGTCTGTGCTTTTCCCAAAGTCGTGTACACATCAGAGCTGGGTGGGCTCATTGACGTCCTACAGTCACAAGTCCGATCTGAGATAATTGATTAATTAACGCACACATTATTATTTGTATTTATTACTATTGAATTTTAATCTCCACATGTTGCCTTTAAACAACAAAATTTACCCAAAACCAAATTAAAGCAGATCATTTTTAAGAAAGTGCTGGTCGAAATTCGTGAAACAAGCATGAACTCCGTGTATGCTACTAACAAGGACAATCTCCGCTTGAAGGGAGGGCCTACATTTTTTAGAAGTCTGAATTTTAAACGTATGATTGAAAACCTTAGAATCCGAAGGGGTTCTCAAAGTTAGTCTTGACCACAACGAATATAACTCTTTTTGACAGTTAATAAATATTAAGGTTTGTTTAGGCAAAGAGTAATATTTAGTAATATTTAGATATTAAGGTTTTGTTTAGGTAAAGAGTAATGTTTAGATATTAAGGTTTGGTTTAGGCAAAGAGTAATGTTTAGATATTAAGGTTTGGTTTAGGCAAAGAGTGATGTTTAGATATTAAGGTTTTGTTTAGGCAAAGAGTAATGTTTAGATATTAAGGTTTGGTTTAGGCAAAGAGTAATGTTTAGATATTAAGGTTTGGTTTAGGCAGAGAGTAATGTTTAGATATTAAAGTTTGGTTTAGGCAAAGAGTAATAAAAAAAATAAAAAATATAAAGTTTCCCTTTCAAACCTGACGGTCTATGGGGCAAGTAAAGTAGAGTTCACTTGTTTCTGTGACCTCGGCATATGAAGAGATAGTGTGGTCAGCACTATGCCCAGCCGCCTTTACTTTCCCTAACGTGAGTTAGGTACCCATCAGAGTTGGGTGGACTCAGGGACGGTCTACAGGCAAAGAGTAATGTTTAGATATTAATGTTTGGTTTAGGCAAAGAGTAATATTTAGATATTAATGTTTGGTTTAGGCAAAGAGTAATATTTAGATATTAATGTTTGGTTTAGGCAAAGAGTAATATTTAGATATTAATGTTTGGTTTAGGCAAAGAGTAATGTTTAGATATTAAGGTTTGGTTTAGGCAAAGAGTAATGTTTAGATATTAAGGTTTGGTTTAGGCAAAGAGTAATGTTTAGATATTAAGGTTTGGTTTAGGCAAAGAGTAATGTTTAGATATTAAGGTTTTGTTTAGGCAAAGAGTAATGTTTATATATTAAGGTTTGGTTTAGGCAAAGAGTAATGTTTAGATATTAAGGTTTGGTTTAGGCAAAGAGTAATTTTTAGATGTTAAGGTTTGGTTTAGGCAAAGAGTAATGTTTAGATATTAAGGTTTGGTTTAGGCAAAGAGTAATTTTTAGATGTTAAGGTTTGGTTTAGGCAATGAGTAATGTTTAGATATTAAGGTTTTGTTTATTCAAAGAGTAATGTTTAGATAGTAAGGTTTGGTTTAGGCAAAAAGTAATGTTTAGATATTAAGGTTTGCTTTAGGCAAAGAGTAATGTTTAGATATTAAGGTTTGATTTAGGCAAAGAGTAATGTTAACTACATTAATGGTAAACCAGTTACTGCACGACCCATTTAAAGTTTACCTTCGGAGGGGATTACAATATTCTCTACGCATTGAAAAACCTGTGCCGCATTCTTGAAAATCTGTGGTCTAGAGATTTATTTACCTGCTTTGTCTTCGGGTCAACTGCTATCTTAATGCAATTAACCGACAGGAAGGACAACAAGGCCTCCATCTTGTAATCGAGTTACGGGACTTGGGACAAGTCACGATTTCGATAAACAAGCCAGATTTAAACAGGAAAAAAAAGGAGCAGGGGAAAAAATGGCCTGACATAAAAAGGAGCCCTAAATAACGAATGCGGAGCAAGGACAAGTCCACATTGTAGAGATCCCGCCCGCTGACATACATTAGTTGAACCACGTGACAGAGTAACCTTGACACACTGCGCATGCTCCTGTGGAGAAAAAAAAAGTATTAAAAATACAAGGGGAGAGAAGAGACAAATGTAAAAAAAAAAATCAGGGCCCTTAAGCTTGCGTCAATTGTGGTATAAAACTGTTAACACTGAATTTCAACACAAGCGAAGAAGAAAAAAAAAATTAAATAAAAAAGGGAGATAAGATCAAACGCAATTTATTCTCTCCCCTTTTTAATTTTTTTTTCTAAATTATAAATCCAAATGAAAAATCCGGTACAAACCTTCTAAACTGTTCCACATAACCGCATTACTCACGATCCCAAGCTCTAAAACAAATAGCCCCACCGCACACGAAACGCGCATTCGATAGCGTCACCGCTTGTTAACAGGAGCCGACAAACACGAGCTGCGCTATATTGGAATAATACAACCCTGTGGTCGGCGCCAAGAACGTTAATCCACGTTAGATCCGCCACACAAAAAAGAAACGCAACTCCTCTTGTTATCATTCTAGCGTGCATAAGCCGTGACATAATCCCTCGACCTTGAGTTTTTTCCCTTTACATAAATTTATTTATTTATTTATTTTGGACAGCGGAAAATCACCCAGGGTTAGAGCCCATGGAGTTATTTTTAAAGTTGTGATGTCATTGTTTGTGGTGAGCGATCAACAAATGACTCAGCCTATTGCGTATCTGCTGTTGTATAAGTGTAAACAACGCTTAGTTCTGATTGGCTCATTTGAATTCAAAAATTTCGGGGTTGCTAGGTTAATGTCAAACTGTATTAAATACAATCAATTTTTCTTTAAACGTATTTGGGTTATTGTGTATATATTATACTATTGTCCAATAATGTCTTATTTATGTAATCTAATTAAAAATGGTTTGTTAGTTTGGTAATTAATTGGTAATTAACTATATACCAATTTAAATGGTTAAAACTACAGTAGCCTTATCCCTACACCAAACTTATCTGTAAACCGTCTTAACGTAGCTCTTAGACCTAAGATCTTACCCTAAAACTAAGCCTCATAATACAATACTAACACAAGTAGTTTCAGAAGACTATTGTCGAATATCGGTAGCACCAATAATCCAAGTTAATAAAGCTGTTCTTTAAGTTAGCTACATTATCTACCAGCTGATCTTACAAGCGTTCAATGCTGGACTGTCCCAAAACTGGTTTTGAGTTTGAATCCCGGGTTTGAGTCTCCCTAGAACATGACTGAGTCCACACAGCTCTTATGGGTACCCGACTCACGTCAGGGAAATTAAAGGTGACTGGGCATACAACTGACCACACTATCCTTTTATATGCCGAGGTCGCAGTAACATGTGAGCTCTACTTCAGCTGCCCGAGGTACCGTCAGGTTCGAAAAGGGAATTTAACTTACTTTTTTTTTTAATAAATCAGCCAAGGTAACAGTAATTATTGCTTTAACCAGAGGTTTGTAAGCTGCAGTAACCGTTGTTATTGTTTCAAATGAAGTGATGTAAGCTATATTAGCCTTTATGTAAGCTTCAAATAAAGCTATGAAATCCAAGGCTGCCTTAATAATATATCCAATCGATTAATGTAAGCTTATGTAACATATATACTGAGAGCGTAATTTATTTATCTTGTTACTGACATTACATAATAATGTGTTATAATCGTTTTAAAATCATATCCCGATTAATGTATACAATATTTTTTCGCCTAACTTTTAAATGGGCTGCGTTATTTCTCCGCACAATCAGGCAAATTTAAAATTACGCAAATGAGATAAAAACGATGAAATCTGATACAACTAGGTCAGGGTAAAATACCCAGCATTCCCTCTAAAACCTGATTCTATCGCTAATCTGATGATTTCAAACTACCTGGTTTTATATATAAAAAAAAAGACAGGTAGGCCTACTTTCGTGGAAACACCTGTAAAAATATAAAACGAAATGCAGACGCATCAGTATTCTAAATCATCGGTATGCTTAAAGAGAAAATATGTACATAAAAGAAAAACAAACTGTATAGGTATAACTGTCGATCTATGTGATTTCTCAAGGTTTAATTTTATGAAACATGAGCTTCCAATTTCGAAGCGTTTTTTTTTTTTTTTTTTTTTTTTTTTTAATAAAAGAAATTCTTTTGGTTTTAAGGCATTATTCTTTCAACGTATCATTTCTTTTTAACTTGTTACTTTACGTTAATGCTTGACACGTATAAGAGATTTATAATTTTGCTGAGTTAGCTGGATAGAGAAAGGTTGTAGATTTCAATAGGTGTTTCTTCTAAACTTCTAAACTTCTTATTTTCTGATTAAAAGAAAAATGACTTCGTGTTTGTTTTGTTCGAAATTTTAAACTTTTTGCTGCATACGTTCACTCAAATAAATTCTAAATAATGTAATTAGCTTTTCTAACTATTCGATTAATAGAATAGTATATGATATAAAAGTAATGCTCCCTTTTTAACTTGACGGTCTATGAGGAAAGCGAAGTAGAGTTTACCTGTTTCTGTGACCTCGTCTTATAAAGGGATAGTGTAGTCATTGCCCAGACGTCTTTACTTTGCCTAACGTGAGTTAGGTACCCATCAGAGCTGTGTCGACTCAGGGACGTTCTGCTGACTTGAACACGGATTCAAACTCTAGACTTTAGGGTTAGCAGTCTACAGCTAGCACACGCTTCCCATGTATAAGATAAATAAGAATGTTAATGCATTTATTTGTTGTTTTTTTTTTTATTAAATATATATTTTAATGATGAAGTTATTTTAATACTTGATTTTAGTTATGAACTAGATATGAAGTAAAATTTTGTTTTTATCACAGCTAGATTAAAATTATGACACTATTTTTAACTTCTTTGCCATAATTTTTTATATATTCAGACTAGAAGACACTTTCAGATTAATGTATATAGGAATCAGCCAATGATTGTTCTGTCCTTCATATTAAAATTATATTCCATTTTGCAGAGAACAATGTATCAACGTTGTAAAGATTAAGATGGTAAACTATGACGAGTACCTTGCTGAAATCAAAGCTTATTAGAAGCAAACAGTATTAGATTCACAACAAAACTTAATACCGTTAGTATACAAAATGCCTTTTATGCAGTACACGATTGATCTTAAACACACAAATTCCAGCTCATTTAATTTGTTTCAATATTTTTAATGAACTCCCTTAGGAAACAAAATTAGTATCTGAAGCTTCAACTTTAACTGACCTCTTGTAAAGTAATGGAAAATCCATGCACACCCTATCCCCCTCTCTTCCAGTGTTAAAAAAAGTGTTTGTTTTTTTTTTAAATATTCCAGGGTTTTGCAGAGAAAACAAAATTGTTTACCGAAAACAAATTAGACCGGAAATAATTCAAACAATTGTTTGTTTTTTAAACTTAATAATTCAATAATCTTGAATTTTCTAAAGTTAACACATAAACCATAAAATAACATTTAGTTTACTCTAATTATTTCCCTTGCTTGATTTCAACGATGGGAAATAATTTTTTTTACATGAGTTTGCGTTCACCAAATAAATTATGCGCCTGTTGGATTCTGTTGTTTTTTTTTTTTTTTTGGATCGTTTTTCGTGCTCGCTCGATCCCATTTCTGGACACACTCCTGCTTGAAATGTATCTCTAATTGATTTGGAAGGAAGCGCAGATTAATAATTAAAAAAAAATGCAATGAATTTGAAAATGTCATTATACATGATTGATATGTATCGATGCGTACACATTAAAATCAAATTAATAAAATTAGACATGAATTGAAAATTAAATTTTGTTTTTGAGGTTTTAGATCATTCATCCTTTTTTCATGTTGTAAATTTGCAACAGCCTTCTAAATGTGGCAGTGATTCATTTACTCAACTCAATATGGTTCCAATTCACAATCAACAATGTTATAAATCATCTTTATATTTTCCCACTCTTGCCAAAGATACACAGGGTAGATGAAGTAGAGTTCATCTGTTTTAATGAGGAGTCAATGTGATCAGCACTATGTCCAGTTGGTTTTAATTCCCTAGGTTGAGTCTGGTACCCATACATATAACATTATAATTTTTCACTATAAATATTAATACATTGAACAATCATAATTTTTAAAACTCCAACAATAATTGTTAAAATATATGACCATCAGCATTGTTAAAAAACGACAACAATAATAAGCTTTTAACCCATATATTACAACAGGCTTTTTGTGTCTGTGTAAAACAACAATAATTCTCCAACCTACAACTAATATCGCAACAATCATGATTGCAATCTATCTAAATCATTGCTATTCTTAATTCACCTCTTATATTACTGCTACATTCCACTAACATCATTATGTTTTCTAATCCAAGAACATCAATTTTCTAATCACGCCTTAAAAAAAAATCTTCAAAAAAAAAAAAAAAATTTTAAAACTCTACTAATCAATACAGTTTCATTTGAAATCAGACCATTTGTTTCAGTTCTAATAAATATCAGCATTAGAACCTGCTACCCGTATTTCTATTTCCTTTTCTGAGCCTACATTGTCTTTTGAATTTTAAACGTGTAAGCTTTATCTATTCAACTTTCAGTTAAGAAAAAAAAACGTAAACAAAAAAAAAACAATTGAAATACAAAATATGATTACATTGCAATATCAGCGAAGAAAATAATTTAGCATTGCGAAAAAATAAATAGCAGGATATACGATACAAGGGTATTGAGATTTAAACTTCCGAATACATCGTTGTGAAACCGAAGTTGTCTTCTCTTGTTTCGCTATATCTATTTATAGTTATTTACACCGCGCGCTCCTTTCTCCTTTCGTTTTCTGCACTTCCGGCTTTAAACACAATTAACCTTTAGGTATACACATTGTGTCGCGGTGCATCGATGACCTTTCGATTACACTCACACGTTAAAACAAACTTGCAGACGACCGTCTAGACGCCAGAGGAATTTCCCGCCCACTTTAAAAACATGGCGCCATTAGAGGAAAGGAGAAGAGGTCATGTTTTGTTTTTGTTTTTTTTAAGTTAATGAACCGGATCGGGTTAGAGAGAGAGGGGGGGGGGATTTGCGGGGGGGGGGGAAGGATTGGCGGGGGGGGGGGGTCTTTTGTGGATTGATTTTAAATTAATCTAAAAGATGATTTTTGGTAAGAGAATAGAAATATGAAATTACAATTTCGTCATTTTTAACACATGTAGGGGACGGAACCATAGAGAGGCAAAAAACCTGTACAGTGGCGTAGCCAGGATCGTCTCATTGGGGGGGGGAGGTTCAAATTTTTTCCCGCATTATAAATGTATATATCAGAGGCGTAGCGTCCCTCCCCGGCCCCCGAGGACAAACCTTTGATTTGCACCCCCCCCCTCAAACTTTTAACTTTGGATATGCACACCCCATTCCCTCAAACTTTTAACTTTTGATTTTCACCCCACCCCCCTCAAACTTTTGGTTTGCACCCCCCCCCCCCCCCGTTCAACCTTTTTGTATCTACCGAGGGGTCTACCCCCCCCCCCCAAACCCCCCTGCCTACGCCACTGAACCTGTATCAAATTGTGAGTAAATTGGTAGTTTAGTGGAGGTCGTAAAATTGGCGACAAGGGCCGGGTAGGGGTGGGCTGGGCCGCTGGGCTACAGTTAACCACTAGGAAATGACATAATTATAGATCAATTAGCTGAGCTTTAATTAAAGAAGTTGCTAATCCTATGGCCACAATTGCGTTGAGCCCTTATAAATTGGGTTATAATATCAATCAATGCAATCCTGAGGTTTTGTGTGGGATTAAAACAAATTATTATATTATCGTTTCTGTTACTCTTGTGTATTTCCATTTGTAAAGTGACCCGTGGTTTCGTAAGCCTGGGCCTCAGTCCTGGATGGAAGAAAGGCACAATACAAATTGTAGACCCGGGGTGGGGACCGATTATCTTTATTTCCCTGACCTCTTGGACTTAACCAGTCAACACGTGAGGTCAGAGGTCAGGCACATTGGGGTTAAATTTAATAGGTGTTTTTTTGTGTGTGTTTGTGTGTGTTTTGGAATAACATGATCCATGTATGCTCCTAAGCCATATATATATATATATATATATATATATATATATATATATATATATATATATATATATATATATATATATATAGTGTACTTACGTAGTGTACAAATAAGGTTTGTACTCAGCATAAAGGGTAAGAAATACTGTTTGTACAAAGTATTGAGGGTAGGATATACCGAGGATACAAAATACCAAGGGTACAAAATATGGAGAGTACAAGATACTCAGGTACAAAACACTGAGGGTAAAAAAAGCGAGGGTACAACATATTTAGGGTATAAAATACTGAGGGTAAAAGATACCGACAGCATAAAATACTTAGGATATGAAATACTAATGGTACAAAAAAACTGATGCTACAAAATACTGAAGGTTTTTCGCATATTGAAGGAAAAAAATACATTACAAAGCATAGCCACCCAAACCGTAGATGGCACGACTTGTCATCGTCTCGCCACCCCCCGCCCCCACCCCACAATGTATGAAACCAAAATAAACCACAGTGACGCTAACGATCACGTTTAAAATGGGTTGTGTACATTTTTTTAAAAACAAACATAAAGTGTGATATCAATGTTTAGGCTACCTTTACAAGGTCATTGTTTCTTCCAGACTTTTTTCTTCGAGGCTGCCCTAGAAATTTTCGGGGGGGGGGGGGGGGGGGAGACACTGTTAAAAGTATATATTTCTATATAAATTTCGTTTCGTTCGGGGCGGGTGGGGGTGGTAGACTTTCTTCGGGGGTCTGCCCCCCCCCCCCCCCCCCGAAGAGATGTCTGGATGAAACTCTGTACAAGGTACATAACTTAGATCAGTGCTTCTCAAAGGACATATAGTAGGTGAGGTTGGGGACGGGGGGGAGGGGGGGGGGTGGCAGATCGTGTGGGGACTGTCAACACGGGTAAATCATTGTTATAGTACGCTAAGGACCGTCAACGCATTTACGTGGTCAATGGAGTGTCGTGTATGTAGAATCACAGGTTTAATAAACTCCTTACTAGAGGACTTATCATCAGTGGCGTAGCGAGGTCGGGTGTCACTTAATGGTGTCACCCCCCAGAGGCGTAGAAACCCTTCCCGGGGACAAACTTTCAAACTTTCGATTCGCACCCCCCACCCTCAAGTTTTTCTCTATATATTTTGGTATTTTTTGCATTGGTGTCACCCCCCTAAATGGTGTCACCCAGTGCGGTCCGCAATCCCTCCCCCCCTCGCTACGCCTCTGCTTATCATAGTGTATGTTTCATTTTAATTCCTCGATTTTTTTCGTCTCCAATCTGAGCATAGGCCATTTACTTTATATTTGCATCTTTTTCTGCCCTTTGCTAATTTGTTTCCATCTCTTTCCAAGTTTATTTCATACCAGTTTTAAATAAAAAATGGAATCTTAATACAAGTGTTAATTTACTGGTAGCAGAGTTTCTTCAAGGCATCCCCCGAACGAAATGGAATCTATATACAAAATATATACTTTAGCAGTGTCCGCCCCCCCCCCCCCGGAAATTAGTCCCCCCCCCCCCCCAGGAGAAAATAGTCTGAAAGAAACACTGACTGTTAGTAAGGTGTAAACTAATCTAACCTTCTATGCGTAGCCAATCCGAGGGTTGATATTACCTGTGTTCGACAATGGACCTTTCTGTTAATAGGTGTGTAAGGTTGTTAGTAGTATTGTAATTATGGGTTTAGTTTTGATTTTTTTTTTAAAATTATTTTGTTATTGAAATGGTATTACTAAGGCTGGGGTGTATGTTGACATTAGCAAAGTTAGAGTTGATTTCAGCTTGCTAATAAAATCCTGCCACCCCTATATTATTAAGAAGACGTATTTTGTGTTGTATTATTGGCAACGTTTATACCACAAACCCCACATGACCCTAACTCTAACTCTGAATTGACACTAACCCTGAGCTACTCTACTACTAAAACGCTAAGACGCCCCCCCCCCCCCAAATAAAAAAGGCATGTTATTGTTAAGGGGTCATCCATTTATGACGTCCACAAAAATCCACTTTTTTTTCTTATACAAGTCCATATGCGTCCACAAAAGTCAGTTTTATTTCGGACCCACCCCCCCCCCCCCCCGTGTGTGAACGTCATAAATTTGGATGACCCCTAACATGCACACTACGATTTGCCCATTTTACTATACATTGTGTTAGGGGCGACGGGGGTTGGGGGTTGGTATTGTGTGGCTTGAGGGAGGGGGGGGGAGGCATAGCTATTTGCCACGAAACACGCCTGAATTCACATCAACAAGACCAGATTGGGGCTTTATCTCCCCCCCCCCCACCCCACCGCCCCCACCTCACCACACCCCACCCTCACAAAGAACGGGTAACTCCGCAGTTTGTGATTTGGTCTCTTCATTTGTCTTGTTCTAATTCTCTCCCCCTTTTTTTAAAAAAAAATAATCCTTCCTTCTTTTTAAATGAACGAGCTGGTCACGTGAACTAATTCGTTCAGTAATTACAACCATGAAATGCGATCACTCCGACTGGATATCGATTCCAGGGGCGGTAAGCCC